AGCTTATTGGGTATGATCAACTGTATGGCTGGCATTTTTCAGGAGTTGCCACAGCGTACCTCAGGCATAGAGATCTGAGTGGTACTGTGGTCCTTTTTAGTTGAGAGGGTTCTTCTCTCACCCGGAGAAGTCCTAAGGACAGCTGCCCTGCTTCTGGGTTTCTTGCTGTAAATTTAGTCATCTGCTGCTGTAACCTGTGTGTCCCGTGGTTTGGTCAGTTTTGTTAGGGATAACTGGTTGCCCCTTGGAGCAGTATCTGGGGGTTGATCTTGGGGATTCCGGGCTTTTGTAGGTCTGAGGTTGGGGCTCTGTGCCCCAGTTTCCAAGCAGTAGTCTGTGGTTGGTGGGTACTGCTCTCCTGGTAACAGCAGGCTATCTGGTGCACAGCAGGTCCCTGGGTTGAGCCAGTCTGTGGGACCTATTCCAAGAATATACTGGGTGGCCTAAGTTCGTCCCCTTTGCTTTGTTTCCTGTATGGTTTTCTCCAGACAGGGACTTTCTGTCTCTGGTGCCCTGGGGTGCACAGCTCTGTCTGTGCCAGATAGCTGGCACGCAGCAGCTGTCTGTGCCTGTGGCTGGAGCCTAGTTCAGTGATGGTGGCTCCTACCTGCTGGTCTGCGAGACTTTTTATAGGGAAAGACTGGGTGACCCAAGTCAGTACCGTTTCCTTCCTTCCCTGTGGAGTTTTCTCCTGACAGGGACTCCCAGTCTCTGGTGTGTTTTGTGCCCAGCATTCAGCCTGGGAAGGTGATCGGGACATGCAGGCATGTGGCTCTGGTCTGGTGATCTAGTACCTGGGGACCCGGGATCTCTTCTGGGTTCTGGCTGGGTGACCTGAGCGTGGACCCGACTGATTCCCATGTAGTGGGGTTTTCCTCTCACCTGGGAAACACGATCGCTGTTGTTTTAGGGCCCAGAGTTCAGGGTTTTGGTCACTGTACAGAAAATGTTGTCCTGCTCCTCGGATGCAGAGTTCTTCTGGTGCCGCCATCTTGTTCCCTCCTCTTCGTTCTTTTGCATGTATTCATATATGTGTGTGGATGGTTGTGCATGTGTGTATGCACGTTCATGTGTGTGGTGCATGCATGTAGGTGCATGTCTATACATGTGTGCAGAGGTCCAATGCTGATTCTGAATGTCTTTCTCTGTGGATCTTCGCCTTTATCTCTGGACTCAGTAGCTCTTCCTGAACCCTGAGCTCACTGTTTGCTTTGCACTGGGGAACACCTTGTCTGCTTCCTAGGCAGTTGGGGTTACAGAAGCGCTGCCGTACCCGCCTGGGTTTTGCATGGGTGCCAGAGCCTGAATTCTAGAACTCATGTTTTTGAGGCACGTGCTTTAACCGTTCTCTGTCTTGAAATCCAGCCTCTTGATGACATTGTCATGGTTAAGAAAACAGACGTTACTAGTGGGGCATAAAATACAAATCCTACATGATTAAACGTATTTCCTGACGTTTATGGCATCAAGGTGAAAGAAAATGGAAATGTGTTCAAGTTGATATACTTAAATTGATTTTTTTATCTTTACAGAATTTATGTTGCTCTTAAAGTTAAAAATGTTTCATTGTACATATTGTAGCAGTACATGCACTTTTCTAAATTAAAAATGGCTATTTATTTATTTACTTTGTGTATGTGTGTGTGAGGGCACACACATGCCATCATTTGTGTATGGAGGTCAGAAAACAACTTTGTGAGTGTTGATTCTCTCCACCATGTGGGTCTCAAGGTTCAAATAATATTGTCAGTCTTGGCGACATGCACTTTTACCCACCAAGCTATCTTATTGGCCTGTTTCCTGAATAGTGTTGATTTGTAGTTGGTAGGCTCCTCTGGTGTGGAACTCCTGGGCATGGAAACCCAAGTGTACATGAATGCCTGTGTATACAAACAGGAGCCGTATCATGTAGTACAGAGAGTATACCTTTGATTCCCTCATGTTTCCTGAAAAGAGCAAATGGGTATATTTTTAACAAATCCTAGCCCAAATGCAACCTTCTTGGAAGTGATGATGAACAGTAGCTTGCTGTATCCATGAGATCTTGAACATGTGGGCAGGAGAGCTGAAGCATGGGGAGTCCCAAGCTCCCAGTTTAGGCTTCTGCCTCCATTCCTTGACTCACATATCTGCCAATCCCCAGGATGAGAAACAGACAAAAAAAAAAAAAAGATGGTCTATAATTGGAAATGGACTGTCTGCAAATAGGCACTCACTCATACTACAAATTATAAAGGAGGAAACTCCACCTTCCCTGCCACAACTGGGCTGCTGTGGGCCAGATACAGTCAAGGAAGCCAGACTTGACTCTGCACATCCCAGCTTGCCTTTTGAGCTTCAGTGTTGGATCTGATCCAGCAATACTCTCTTTTGACTTTCTTTTGAAAGCCCCCTAAGGAGATCTTTGGTTTTTGTGATGTGCATTATTTTTATGATGAGACTCTGTGGAGCAGATGGATGGACCTTATAATGACCTCTTCTTCACCAGCATGGACTAAAGAAAATGCAGGAGGATAAAGCAGACAGACATAGTGGGAATATGGACATCACAGGTGATCTGTAGAGAGGTCACTGTGGGGAGATTGGGGAGGTGACTTGTAAGCCCTTATTATGAGATCTTCATATACCTGCAGTGTCATGAAATGTCATATCACTTTGGGATTGTAGGACAGCCAAGATGAAAAATAATCCACCAGAAGACATCTTCCATTAAAGTCTTAGTGTGAGCTTAGCTGAACTAGCTCCTAGGAACATTTTCCTACTCTATGTGCCATTAGCCTGCACTGGCTGTGGGAGACCTGTTGTTACATAAATATTTGGACCAAGGCAGCAGCTCTGACTTAGGCCTTTCAAAGAAGAACCCTAATTAAAAGCAGAGAGCAAAGGGAGAGGCAAATTGAGTTTTTGGAAGAGGTCAGCAAATCTATTGAAGCTACATTAGCCATGCTCTGGTCTCTGGCTTCATGAAGCACTGGTGTCTTCCAGGCAAACACCCAAGTATTTTTTGTGACTGTAGACTTTCCTTCTGGAGCGGATGGCAGCGACTTTGTTTTAAGACTGTGACCCATCGAGTGGCTCCCTCTTTCAGATCAGGAATATTTTCTCTTGCTGAGAGTTTTTGCTAGCCACCGCATGAGGGAAGAACAATTCCTTTCTGTCCTTGTATTCTTTAATGGCACTGTCGTTCACTCCCGTGAGCATAGAAAGCATGTTCTCCTTTACCCTGTCTATGCATTTCTCTCTTCTCGTGAGCCAAGTACCAAGTCCTGTCAATTTTGCTTTATAAACTCCTGAGCTTGACACTTTTTCTTTATAAGCATCCTCATCCATGCATTTTGAGTACCTGCTTTACTCCAGTGCTGTGTACCCCTTTCTTCCACATGTCATCTTTCCCCATAGAGGTCTTTCATTATTTCCTCAGTGGAACTGATATTTTATTACTGGTTTTCAAGTTTATAAAGAAAACATTTACTCATGGTTCTGGACGCCAAAGAGTCTAAGAGTGTGGTGAGGGCCTTGCACAGTGCCATGGACTGAAAGGATGGAGGGCTGAGTCTGAATGGTCTAAGTTATGGTCACAGATACACTTGCAAAGACCCTTTACTGATAGGCATGTCCAACCTGCCACCCACCACCCACCGCTGCTTGCAGCTCAAGACAACTATGAATGGGTCCAGTACAAACATTGAGATGGATTTCTTTTCTTGTAACTCAGTTACATGATTCTTGAACATGAACACTGTAGGTGACAGTATTGTGTTGAAATGTCCTAGGTGCTTGGGAGCTCAGTTTATGGTAGACTTTGCAAAAGAATAAATTCCAGTTTCTTTAGGCTCATGTGCAAGCCGCTTCTCAGTCCTCCTGCTGTCCACTTCTGCTGCCCTCTGCTCAGAGCTCCCTTTCCCGTTCTGTTTGGTCAACCACATCGCTCTGGCTGAGGACCTGGGTTCAGTTCCAAGCATTCACATACGGCAGCGCACGACTGCCTGATATTTTGGTTCTGGGGAATCTATGCCCTCTTCTTGCTTTCAGGGACACCTGTACACATGTGGCACACATACATATAAAATTAAAAACACATTTTTGCTCCGCCAAGCCCTATATTTCTGAGGATTGGATCTGACATATCCTTGTTAGAGTCAGAAGTAAAAACAGGCCATGAGGCAGCCAGTGCAGGCTGCTGATGGAGTGAACGGTAATCCTGGATGATGCTGTGTTAGGAGACTGTGAGGAGGGGAGGGTTGGGAGAAGAGACCATGTGTTCCAGAACACAGTAGGTTTAACTTGTAAAGGTCTTCCTGATCCAGTTTCTTTCCACGTGGATAGTCCTGAAACCCCATCCTGGGAAGTGTAATGATATCTGCAAGATATAAGGTGCTTAATTACGGGGAGATAATTATATCCTCTTGAGTGTCAGTGTTCAGACATAAATAATGGGTTTTTCTAAAAGAGCACACACAGTGTTGGAGCATAAAGTCAGACCACAATCACCTTCAGAGCTGATCTCAGCCTCCATGGATCAAATGTGGCGAAGAGGAAAGCGCGTTCTCTCTGGGTTCTGGGCGCAGTTTGGGGTGGACAGGAGTGGGCTATAAGCCTGGCAGCCGCTGACTTCCTGAGAGCATCATAGTTGAGACTAGATGTGTTTAAATTCTGTAAGTAAGTTCACTGCTTTTCAGTGCACATGTATCTGTGTGTGGGAGGGGTGTGTAAAATATGAAATTTGAGTGCTTTATAGAGAAATGGGAATTAGGGTTCATGGAATTGTGTTATAGATTTTCTTCTCTTCTAAAACTAGATTTTTAAGCTCAAGTTTTTGAACGCTCCTCATCCCCGCCCCATGCAGACACCCTTGAAATGTGTTTTGTTTTGCTTTTCCTCTTGTTGCATTTCCTGTTCTGCCTTCAGTGCAGTTCATCATTCTTGAAAGGGCAGATTAAAAACGAGCCTGATGAGGCAGGACTGGACACAAGCTAACATTGTCTTAACACTCTTTCCAGGTTCAGCGTGATCTTCTGTGTCTCACTTCCCAGCCAGCATTCTGCCTTCTCAATCCATCATGGTGTTTGGTGAGTTTTTCCATCGCCCTGGACAAGACGAGGAACTTGTCAACTTGAATGTGGGGGGCTTTAAGCAGTCTGTGGACCAGAGTACGCTCCTGCGGTTCCCTCACACAAGACTAGGGAAGCTGCTCACCTGCCACTCCGAAGAGGCCATTCTGGAGTTGTGTGATGACTACAGCGTGGCGGATAAAGAGTACTACTTTGATCGGAACCCCTCCCTCTTCCGATACGTCCTGAACTTTTATTACACAGGGAAGCTGCACGTCATGGAGGAACTATGTGTGTTCTCCTTCTGCCAGGAGATCGAGTACTGGGGCATCAATGAGCTCTTCATCGACTCCTGCTGCAGTGGTCGGTACCAGGAGCGCAAGGAGGAGAGCCACGAGAAGGACTGGGACCAGAAGAGCAATGATGTGAGCACAGACTCTTCCTTTGAGGAATCCTCTCTGTTTGAGAAAGAGCTGGAAAAGTTTGATGAGCTGAGATTCGGTCAGCTCCGAAAGAAAATCTGGATTCGAATGGAGAACCCAGCTTATTGCCTGTCAGCCAAGCTCATCGCCATTTCCTCCTTGAGCGTGGTGCTGGCCTCCATCGTGGCCATGTGTGTGCACAGCATGTTGGAATTCCAGAACGAGGATGGAGAAGTGGATGACCCTGTGCTGGAAGGTGTGGAGATTGCGTGCATTGCCTGGTTCACCGGCGAGCTGGCCATCCGCCTGGTTGCTGCTCCCTCACAAAAGAAGTTCTGGAAAAACCCTCTGAACATCATTGACTTTGTCTCCATCATTCCCTTCTATGCCACGCTGGCTGTGGACACCAAGGAAGAAGAGAGTGAGGACATTGAGAATATGGGCAAGGTGGTCCAGATCCTTCGGCTCATGAGGATTTTCCGAATTCTGAAGCTTGCCCGGCACTCTGTAGGCCTTCGGTCTCTTGGGGCCACACTGAGGCACAGTTACCATGAAGTGGGGCTGCTGCTTCTCTTCCTTTCTGTGGGTATCTCCATCTTCTCTGTGCTTATCTACTCTGTGGAGAAAGATGAACTCGCCTCCAGTCTCACTAGCATCCCCATCTGCTGGTGGTGGGCCACTATTAGTATGACCACCGTGGGCTACGGAGACACGCACCCGGTCACCTTAGCCGGGAAGATCATTGCAAGCACATGCATTATCTGTGGTATTTTGGTGGTAGCCCTTCCCATCACCATCATCTTCAACAAGTTTTCCAAGTACTACCAGAAGCAGAAGGACATGGACGTGGACCAGTGCAGTGAGGACCCACCAGAGAAGTGCCATGAGCTCCCTTACTTTAACATTAGGGATGTTTACGCACAGCAGGTACATGCCTTCATTACCAGCCTGTCTTCCATCGGCATCGTGGTCAGTGACCCTGACTCCACAGATGCTTCGAGCGTCGAGGACAATGAGGATGTTTACAACACTGCATCCCTGGAGAACTGCACTGCAAAATGAGCAGGGGGCATTTGCACAGATATCTTGTGTCCCTTAACATTAGGTTAACACAGCTTTATAAACCTCAATGGGTTTGTTCAAAGAAATCATTTAATTCTCAGGGTGTACCTTTTAGCCATAGTTGGACATTCATTGCTGAATTCTGAAATGATAGAATTATCTTTATTTTTTCAGTGAGGTCAATTAAATGCCTTGTCCTGAAATTTATTTTTTACAAGAGAGAGTTTTAATATGGTATTCTGGGAAAAAAGTAAATGATATCGGGAAGGATTTATTGCTCTGGCTTACGCATCATTCTGTATTTGCCATTCACTCACATTGAGCTAACTATAAATTCCTGATGATCGAGCAGAGGCCCAGCTGACTGAAGATGACATGCATGTGAGAGCTACAACATGAGACAATGCATGTAAATCCATGTTCATGTTTCAGACATGGGAATTAGGAGCCCAATAAACTTCTAATTCAGTATGGAAAATGCCTTGTTTATATGTTTTTATTTCAAGTAAGTATATCCTAGTATACTCACAGTTAGGGCTTGAAAGGACCATGCTCTTGTCAGAATATTGAGAATTTTTTCATGGAAAAACTGAGGTATAGCTCAGTTGGTAATATGCTTGTAGGGGGATGTGAGTTTAATCCTCAGAAATGACAGTTTAAAGAAAAAAAGTCAGGCATGGTCTTGCATATGTGTAATTGCAGAGTCGGGCTCATTGGGTGGCCGGCCTAGCATACTTGGTGAATCTCAGACCAATGAAAGACCCTGTCTTAAAAAGATGGACGGCATTGAAGAGTGATCCCCCAGAAATCTGTCCTCTGATGTCTGCATATGTACGCACTCCTGTACACATTTCCATGCCCACACGCGTGTATCTGTGTGTGTCTCTGTGTGTGAGAAAAACACACAGTTTATATCTCTCTTTTTTTTAATGTAGCCAATGATATAATACTTTTTGTTCCATAACTTGAGTTTGGCAGGTAGAAGAACATATCAATAATTAAACCATTTTGTCTGTTGTAAAATAATTACAGTATGTAGATTTTTGAGACATATTAGCAAATGGCACATCTTATCTTGGTGTATTTCCAGTACATTTTGAATTTTATAATAATTTGTACTTCCAGGATGAAACTTGAAAGTCATACGGACCTGGGTAAGCCCACCCACTTGGTGAATGGAGGAAAGGAAAAATAGACAAACACACAGATGTGGGCCATTTTGCAGAGAGTGAGTGGTGAATCTCCAAGGCAAGTGCTGACAGCTTTAAAATGAGCCAGCATTTAAAAACTGCCATAGACAGAGGGATGGCTGCTTCAACATAGGAACTCCATGCCATGAAAGGAGACATACTAATCATTGCCAGATCCCATGGCACAGCTCCATCCCATATGGAGGGAATATAGCCTCAGACTCCATTTTGGAGATGTAGCAAGATGCTAATGGGCTCTGTCAGGTTGGCTGCCAGTTTGGTCCCTGAGCTCTTTCAAATGAAGAAGCCACAGGGATTTTATTGTGCAAAGTGTTGCATGGAGATGCATCTCATTGGAAGTCTATCTATAGGTTGTCAGTACCTATAGGAGTCCTCGTTCCTTTTCCTATGCCTGTGACGTCTGAGACAGGCACAAAGAAATGGTTTGCTTCTAAACTTGAGTTTATTACATGAGCGTGTCATCAGTATCCAACTCATTGGGGAAAGCTTCTATCAAGCAAATGGTTTCATAGCATAAAAGTAGAAGTTGGCATCCCGTTTTTTTATTAAAGATTCCCTAGCTAATTGTGAAGTAACTGAAGGCTGCTTATATAGCCATTGCTGTAGTAACAGTAAGAACAGCAGCAGCAATAGCAGGAGAGCTCAGTAACTGCTTTGCCCACACAATCTCATTTGTTCCTTGCAACCCCCCCCCCCCCCAGCACCTGGAGTTCTTTATTTCCGTCTTCATTTGAAGGTGCAGAAACTGAGGTTGGCAGGAAGAATGGCTTGGCAAGTTCACACAGTGGCAACTCAGCTGAGCTTTGAACTTAGGGAGGCAGCCTCCCAAGCTGGCATCTGAACTGCCAAGGGAGTGGGGTTGGGGGGGTGGATTTGAGGCAACCACAGACCAGGTGCCCTTGAAGAGAAGAGGAGCAGCAAATGGAGCCAGAGTGTGATTGTTGCCTGAGTCAAAGGGGCATCCTGGTTTATACCTCTCCTGTCCTGATCCAGAAACCAGACATAAGCTATTTACAGACTTTTTCTAGAGTAGCTGTGAAGCTAGAACAGGCTCTGAGGAACACTGAGTAGGAGATACAGTAGAAACAAACAAACAAACAAACAAACAAACAACAACAAAAACTAGTTCTCCAACTGGTCTGAATAGAGTGCACTAAGCAGGAATGTTTCTGCCTGTGCTCCAAGGAGGTCCTGCAGTGGTGGCCCTGTAGCCTGAGTGGCCGCTGTGGCTCCTCTCTGGTCTTGGCTACAGCTCCCCTGTCCATCCTGACCCCAGTCCCTGGATACACGCAGCTACTCCTGGCTTTTCCACGCTCCTCACAGATTCCCCTTGTTCCCGTGGAGAGAGACATAGACCCCTTCTCTTTGGAAGGGTGGACTTGGTGGCTGAACACCAACATTATAGGAGGCTGGTGAGGATGTGAGCATGAACAGGGAGAAAGGGAAACCAGACAAACTCTGTGGTGTCTGGTTCTGTGTGGATGACTCTGGGGTTCATTTGAGCTGACCCCTTCAGAGAGTTTTTGTTAACTTATAACTTGCTCATTTTTGTTTGTTTTGTTGTTGCTACTTTGTGAACTCTTTTTCTCTTTCTGTTTTGTTAGGCTTGTTTTATCCCAGTAAGGATTTGGAAGTCCGTGAACTGAGCTGAAGGACCAATCTCCTTCCCAGTCCTTCGCCCTGGGTGCAGAGCAAAAAGGGACAGGAGGATGAAAAAGGAGGAAGGGCACAGCTTCCTGGAAGACTTGGCAACAGAGTTCTTTGGGGAAGTGTGGTCTCTGTTCTGAGCCTGACTGAGTTCAATTAGGGGTAAAACTTGCATTGGTAGTGACAAGCTCCTGGGTCTCTCCTCCACTCTGCCTCCTACTGTGTACGCTGTTTGCTGCCCTCTACATTTGTCTGTTCGTTCTCGCTCTCTCCTTTAGTGGCAGTACCTTTCACCTTAGGGTGCTCTCACCCCCTAGCCTTTTTGTCCAGTGGGGGATTAGCTGTGCTGGTAAAGGCAGAACTTGGCATTCTTGGTCTTCTTATTTTGATTGTTTTTGTTTTGTCAGAACTCTTTGGCCACTCAGATGCTTTTGTACGTATTCAGCACTCCATTTTGTGTTAATTTCACATTTAGCTCAACAGTTTTGGGGGAGCGCTTGCTGTTGTCCCCATCTGGGAGGTCACACTCATTGCCTTGAGGCTTAGAGACACCCTTCTGTATTTTGTGGGGGTTGATTCACAGAACTGTTAAGAAGTGTTTGTTAACATTCGGTAAACGGTGGTTTGTGCCATATGGAATTGTCAATATCTATTATTTTTGATATAGGGTAACAGCAGTTTCAATATGGTTCAATTTAGTGTCGTGAGCCTGCTTTCCTTTAGAGAGAGAGAGAAAAGTGTCTCTTAGCTTCTTAGACAAATGTGTGTTATTTTTGTGAGAAGTGGGCACAGGGAGCCTGGGTTTCCTGTTAACCCCATGGGTCATAGCTATATGATCAGGAAGTGAGGAGCACTGAGTTTGTGTTTGGAGAGGAATGGGTGATTGCTAGGATTTGGGTCTCTCACACTCCATAATTTATGTTCTTTCCAAGCTGTCTAGGCTCTTTCCAACTTTGTTTACAGTAAAAACTTGCCTAATAAGAACCAGTTTTAGTCTACCAATTATTTTTTTTCTTCTCCATTGGTAGAGTCTCAGCCATTGAGGTGTCTTTTCTGTTGTTGGGAGGTGGCTACTTTAAGATTTCAGTTATCAATCATGTTTGCAAAAGGTTGTTCATCTCTCTGTGTCTGGTGGCAGGAGTGAAGGCTCCTGCGGCTCTGGCAGCCAGGCTGGGTAAAAGGTTTTATGAGAAACTGTGGGGGCATGGCTTTGATTTGTTGTCACATCACTGGTGGCTTAACCTTGGTCATTCGCAGCATCTGTTAACTTTGTCCTTCCCAGGTAAGATGTCAGAGCATTTAGGGGGATAGGAGAGAGGAAGGGTGAGCTGGGAGAAAAAAGACAAAGATGTCTTAGATGGTTAAGCTTGAGGTCATGGGGCATGACAACATGGAGCAGCTTGGAGGCGCCTTCAGAGGTCGTATCACTATTAATTTTACAGCAAGGCAGAGGAATGAATTGTGCAAGGTCATGGAGCTACAGAAAGAGAAAATCCATACTAGAACATAGTCACAGCTCTGGCTCCTGCCTTTACTCATCCTTTCCTATTTATAACACACACGCACACACACTTTAAAAATATATATTGTGTAAATGTATGTGTACATGTTCTTGTGTGTGTGTGTGTGTGTGTGTGTGCGCACGCAGATACTCACCCACATATTGTACATGTGGGTGGGGCCTCAAAGTTGAGGTCTAGTATCTTCTTTAATCATTCTCTTTTTATTGAGTCAGAGTCTTTTTACTAAACCCAGAACTGGCAGATTGTCTGGCGAGCCAGTTTTCATCAGGGACCCTTGTCCCTGCTTTCTGAGTATAAGGTTATAGGTGCCTTCCATACTTACCCTGCTTTCACGTGTGTTATAGGAGTCTGAGCTTTAGCCCTTATGTTTGTACAGTAAGTGCTTTTTCCATGGAGCCACTGCTCCACCCTCTTATTTCTTTGTATTATAAAAATTTCATACATTTTAAAGTATCAATAATGGTATAATACACTTCTTCAAGCCTATTACCCAACTTCAGCAAGTATATCAACTCATTAGAAATGTATTTCATATCTTCCACAACTCACTTCTTCCTTTCCTGGTTATAAGCAAGAATCATTTGATTTATAACCATCTTAGTGAACATCTTTAAAAGAATCCCCCCCTTTTTTCCTGAACGAAATTGCAATGCTATCAAAACAAAAATCTGATAATTCTGCAGTATTCTAAACTTGGGTGATAGTGCATCTTACTTTCTAGTTATTTTATAGCTACAGTTTTAGTTCCTGTTTTACCCTTTTTTCTTATTTTAAAACACCACACACACACATACACACACACACACACACACACACACACTGTCTTTGAGGTGTGTGTGTGCATATATTTGTACATATGTGTGATGCCTCATAGTTCGTGTCAAATATATTTCTTACTTTTTCATAAACAAGAATGTATTAAGTTGCTCAGTTTTATAAATATCCAAGTGAGGTCAGTATTTCAGCAGGGAGCCTGACAACATCCCAAGAGTATGTGTTTTCTATCACAGCTATAACAACTTACCACCTATGTTGTGGTCTGAAGCAATGGAAATTTGTCTTCTGATTCTGAACCTGAGTTTTTGGAACTA